GCTCTCCATGCTGTTAAGAGGTAGCACGATCTTGGAAAGATCCTTAATGTATTACATTGTGAGTTCTGCATGGTTGGCCATTGATAAATCACAGAGAACTGAAAGAAATATTAAAAATACAGTTTAACTGAACTCAATGTCTATTTGCATTTCTCATGTCCAGAAACAAAGGTCACTTGAAGTTTTGATTTCAAGCTTTAGCACGGAATCCACGCTATTTGTGCCATCTGGAACAGCATAACAAGGGACTTTCATGTTTTCCGGTAGGGAACTCTTTCCCAAAACGACCAAAAAACCCATCATTGTTTTTGTCTTGGATCTATTTTTACAACAGAAGTTTACAGTAATTTCCACATACCAGTTTCTCTCTACTTCTCCCATTTTCTCACTGATGTCTTCAGCCATCAACATAGGAAAGGAAGCCCAAGGATACAAACCAACTCCTCTTCTCAGTTCATGGAGTGAGCCAGGAAACCATACATTAAGGTATGCAAAGCCAAGGGATGTTCTGGCTGAACTATGTGCTCTGCTCTGGATTTTTATGAGATCCTCAGAAATTCACTGTCTCAATACTCACTTTTTAAACCTGAACGCCACATTAAGGCAAATACATCAAGGGTTTCAAGGCCACAATAAGTAACAAGTGAAGCTTTAAGTGGAAGAGCAAGAGCTCTTCCAAGCCAATTTATGAATGATACTGAACTCTTGCACATGAGACACTCTGTTTTTCCTCCTCTTAACAGTTAAGAGTAACCTACCATTGCTGCTACAACTGTATCTATAGACAGAGTCAATGAAAGCACTTATGTATCTAAAACTTCCATTGCTAAACATTGAATTTGACAATAGAGTAGGGCTTTTTCAAATACATCAGCAAACAGACCTTGTATTGGCATGATTCTGAAACAAAAGTGGACTTTAACTGTTAGATTAGAGTGAGAAATCATTAGCAAAGAGATTTCATGCTGTATGAAAGGAAACTTCTACAAGTTAAACCAAAAAAAAAAAGATTGCCCTTTCATTTCCTTCTACGCGATCTTACAGACACACTTATTACTCTTCTAAAGAACCTCCTTCGAGAGAAGTGTTGTGGAGCACTCCTCCATTCCCCATTAGCCACTTTTATCCTACTTATCTAGTGCCAATGTTTTTAACGTGAAAACATTCTCACGATTACGATGTTGAAACCATGAATGTTGCAACAGGATCAACAGCACATTTTCCCACTTCACTAGGAGCCAATTTCCAGTACACTGACAGCATAAACATTCAGCACATAACCCAGAACTCAGACTCCTGGTTTCACAAGCCATGAGTCTCAGTGTCTCCTGATGCAAGAGATAAGATGCCAACTGAAAGTCTAGTATTCCAAGAAGTAGGAAAGTAAGGAATGCACTTCTAGAAAGCAAACTGCCTAACACATACACAAGAGGTATCAGCAGAGCCTGTAAAGTTGTCTGCTCTTGGTGCTATGCTTAAGGAACTAGCAAAATAGTCAAAATACCTACAAAGAATTATTCATAAGGGGTCATATATCAAAATGGAATAGAATTCTATTCTTCCTGGAAAAGGATCTCTTTCAGTTCAGGCTACCTCTGAGGTTTACAGCACCTAATTTAATCCTTGTCTGCACAGGAAAATCTAAGCCATTTAGCCAGATAATTCTTTAACAACTTTATGTAAACTAAAAGACCACATCTGAATACACTCTTAACATCCATTATGTTTAAATCAGTATGGCACATAGCAATCATTTGCAGAGGCATGCAAGAAATAAGGTACCTCAGTAAGTCTATTAACTGAGCCTGTCCTTTTAAAATTAGACATCTTAAATGGTGCTGTGTCTCAGTGAAAGTCACAGGAATGACATTGGAATTTACTGCAGGTAAGCTACCTCACATTAGCAGCTCTGCAACACTTCTCTGTGTGTGTACTCCTTCCCTCTCACACAGTGAGAGAAGTCCTTTCTGTTCAGTGACTTGCTCTATGGCAAGAGGGATCAGAGCACGTGTGCCACTGCAGCAGAGCCAGTAAGGTATTGCTCATGAATCATGGCAAATCAGAAATACAGGATTGTGTACAGCTATCACCACAAAAAGTAAAACCACCAGAAGAAATAAAACCACAGCAGCTCACCTGCCCTATGCTGGGTAGAGGCATTCAAGTACCTAACTGTAAGCAACACCTAGAGCCTGCACTATTCCTTGTTCACGCACACAGCTTTCAGTACAGAATCTGAAGTTGCCTGGATTAGAGATTTCTAGCTTGTATAAACAGCAGAAAAGTTGCTTCATCCCTGAGCGCTGTATTCCAGCTTCAAACATGCAAACTATCTGATTGCAGAAAATCCCTAGACTGCACAAGAAAGGGTTGAGTATCAGCAGCTTCCTAATTTCCCCACTTTGTTGCAGTTTTCACAGCGTTCAAAGTATTTACACTTATTATCAGACAATACTAACTCACACCAGAAACATGCTGAAAGACATGGAAGACACTATTAACTTTTACACAAAACGAGCCAAACAAATGCATTTTCTCATGCTGCTAAACACCAGTTTAACAGCCAAAGACTTTGTACTGATAGCATACATTAACACAGTAGCTGCAACAGCAGTTGCATTTATCTCCATAAGCCACCATATGTTTTGGAGCCTTATATAAGAATAAGGAGAGTATTAGCATTCCTTGTTTTAACAAGGATTGAAACAGACTTTACCTTCGTAATGCTTTTTTGAGAGGAAAAAAAAAAACAGGAATTTTTGTACTTGAAGCATATGAGCATATTTTTGCTCTTTAACAGACAGAAACGTAGAGCAGCATTTCTCCAAAATAAATCATTACTTAAATTTAGTGATACCAGTGCTGCCTAGCCAGAGAGATGGATCAGCTTAGGAAGTCCATAAGCTGAACTGCCACAGAAAAGAATTATGACCTTTTCCTACTCTTCAAAATTCTACAGTCATGGAACAGTTGAGGTTGGAAAGACCTCAGAAGGTCACTTGGTCCAACCCCCAAATTTGACTTCGTCCCTTCAGTTGGAAAACTCCCCTTACTTTCCTGCTTCTGTAATCAACGTGCAGCTGCCAAACACCGTGACAGCTGCTCGGGCTGCAATCCTTCACACAACCTTAAGGTAACTTCAGTAAGATCCATCCTCCCTCTGTTCTTTTTGCCCCTACTGTACGCTATTCTCTTGTTTAAAGATCCAAATTCCTTATTTTAAACATCTGCTCATATACTCCTTGTCTTCCCATCCATTTGATGCACAGTTTGCCATGCTCTACACATGCTCTCTGTCTGCCATTAAAACTGTTACTTCACTAGTAATTGCTTTCTACATACTCATTCACCTTTATTTCCCTTGCCATGCTGTTTGGGGGCTTCCATCCTTCCAGAAGGCTTGAAGCACACATCACACCTTCTATTATTTTACATCACTAGGAAAAGGATGATGACATCCATTCATTCTGTCTCCTGCCAGACAGTAACCTATCAGGAACTCCTTTCCTTGCATAACAGTAGCAATTTGAGTCCTCCAAAGCAAAGTGATTAGAAAGCAGAAGCACTGGGATCTGCCCTGAGAATGTCTTAACTGACAACAAGCCAGGCAGCCCGCTGGCTTCCCCTTGCAAGGAAGAGAGATGAGGGCTCACTACAGTTGCAGCGCTATTACTTTCCCTCCCTGCTGCAGAAGAGCTCCTAAAACTCCACAGGAGCTTATCTTACCCAGGGATGAGTCAAAGCTTATGCAGAAGGCATGCAGTGCTGCAGAGACAGTTTTACCAGGGGAGGCTGATCGTGTGCTAATCAAAAGCCTCTTATCTGGAAACACCTGGTCCTTTGTGCTACTCTAAAACCAGGTCTAGGGATCCCAGCTGGATTTCCTCACAGCTGCAGGTAGCAGAGACGCTGCTGGGTGGATTGCTACCGTCCTTCCCTGAGCAAGCAGACTGGCTTAATTTAATCAGAGATGCCTGGGAGCATCTCTATTCAGATGAGATCCATAAAAGAAGAAGAAACCACAGATGCTAGGTCAGAAAGTACTCAAAATATCTCGTGCTACTTACAGGCTGCACTTTCTAAGCAAGGAGAGGAGAGATTTGACCTTAGCTGAAACACATGTTCTAGAGCAAACAAGCTTATTAGTGCAGGGCTGACGATCCTGCTATAATTGCTGTACTGGAATTAGGAGATTTCACCAAGCCTTCAAGCAGAAAGCAACTCTCCAAACACGGATAAAGCACAGATTATCGACAGGGCAGCATCAAAGCCAGGTCACGAGATTATTATTTTTTTCTTCCCAAGAGCAGGGGCTGCTTTATACCCGGTTACAGCAGGGGTGCCGCCGGGCCTCCCGCCCAGCACACCTGTACAGGCGGAGGCTGCAGCCCGGGCTCGGCTTCTGAGGGCGCCGCAGGGCCGGGATCCGGCGCAGCCCGAGCTGCTAAGCCCCGTCCTCGCACAACCAAGGGACAGCGGCTTCTTCTGCCTCCCAAAGCAGGTCGTTCGCTGTCACTCCCTCCGACCGCAGCCTCCTTTCTAAGCTCAGCGCGCAGAAAGGAAGGAGAATGCCACGAGAACTCACTGGAAGGGCTGGAGTCAAGCCACGTAACGCAGCGCGCATTTGCGCGCGGGGAAAGGGAGCCTCGATGGTACAACGTACGCACCGAAAAGCACAGGAACAACAACAAAACTACACCGCCATCCATCCGGCGCCGCGCAGCCCCGAGCTCCGTCCCCGCCGGTCGGCTTCAGCTCGCCGCCCGCTCCCCGCCCGGGTCGCCCCGCCGCCCCCGTCCCACGCGGCTCAGAACCGCCACCTCCCCCGCACTCACCGCGGCGGCGGCATGGCCCCTCACGCCACCCCGCGCCCTCGGCGGCGCCGGCTCCACGTAACCCCTCCTTCTGCTCCTCCTTTTTCTCCTCCTTCTCCCTCCCCGGCCGCCCCTGCCATGTGACACGCTGGGGCGCGGCCGCCATGACGGGCGGGGCTAAGGGGCCGAGAAGATGGCGGGCGGTTGTGTGGCGGAGCGTGGGGTTGTCTTGTTGTTCCAGTCTGGGCTGCAGCTATGAGGGAGGGGCAGGTGGGGGTGAGAGAAGGGTTGTGACCCAGAGGGCGGTGGGCATGGAACGGGCTGCTCGGGGCAGCGGGCACAGACCTGGGAGCCGGAGCTCACTGAGCCGCTCTGAGGCAGGTTTGGTTGGTCCTGTGTGGAACCGGCAGTTGGACCCCTTTGGGTCCAATCCAACTCGGGACATTCTGTGATTCTGTCGCTGAGCACTGAAGCATAGAAGGGTTTGGGGGTGGAGGTGCAGCCTTCAGTCTGTGCAGCCCAGAGCTCTGCACATCTGGTCGGAGACTGGGAATCAGAATCATGGAATGGCTTGGATTGGAGGTGACCTCAAAAGTCACCAAGTTCCAACCTCCAGATATGGTGCTACAGGGCCCCATAAAACCTGTCCTTGAACACCTCCAGGGATGGAGCATCCACAACCTCTCTGGACATCCTGTTCCAGCCTCTCACCGCTCTCTGTGAAGAACTTCCCCCTGATATTCAATCTAAACCTTCCCTCCTTGAGCTTAAAACCATTCACCCTTCTCCTATCACTACCTACCCGAGTAAAAAGTTAATTGCTCTTCTTTTTATAATCCCTTTTTAAATACTGGAAGGCTGCAATGAGGTGACCCCGCAGCTTTCTGTTCTCCAGGCTAAACAAGCCTAGCTCCCTCAGCCTGTCTTCATAGAAGAGGTGCTCCAGCCCTCTGATCATCTTCATGGCCCTCCTCTGGACCCTGTCCTCTGGCTCCACATCTTTCCTCTATTGGGGGCCCCAGACCTGGATGCAGTAAGGCCTGCAGGAGTTCCGTTGCTCTTTTCTCTGAAGACGAAAGCCATTTCCAGTCCTGCTTTGGGCTTCATGACCTTGAATGACATTTGGAAGTATTTATTATAGATCTCTGAATGGGAGAAAAGAAACAAGTGGAGGTTAGGCTGACAGGAAACATCTGGGCTAAATATCTTTATTTGCTTTGCTGTGAAGCTGTCAAGCATGTATAGGACTAACTTCTTTCCCTGCCTTGGGGAATAAAAATACAAGCCTGACACTTAGTATGTGCCCCAGCAGAGTGTTCAGTACCTCCACTGGGAGCTGTTCTGCTCTGCATGTGTAATTAAATACTAATTAAGCTATGGGAAGTAATAAGTTTGTAGAGGTTGTGGGTTAGTTCCTTAGAAGGGAAAAACCTGAAATCAGGCCCTAACTGTTCATTATCACACTTGTTCTTTTGACCCAGTGATTACCACTTGCAGAATGGAGAGAGAGCTGAGAGAAATTAGCCACAGCTATGCTGAAATTATGTCAGCTTGGCAGTTAATGTGCAACAGTTCATATCCTTTCAAATGGAGTGGCATGCTGAACACTCAAATCTTTCAGATCCAGAGTAAATGATCTAACTAATGATGAAAGGGTGGTGGGGTACCTTCACCACTCATCCATATTTGTGCAGAACTTGACACGTCATTGAGGTGTGAAACTGAAAGACATTTTGGGTTTGTAAATCCTGGTGAGGTTTAGGAATGAACTAAGTGATGACTTGCACAGTGTAGTCAGAACTGGAAGATTTTCTGAGCATACCCAGATACAGAACTTGAGCTGCCTGCACCATCTGATAGCTAGCTGCTGAGTGACATTTTGAGGGTGGCGGATTTTATTTTTGTAAATAAAACCTTTTTGTTTTAGTGGAAGTTCAACAGGCTTGATACACCGAGTCCCTTCTTTGGTGCATTACTGCCCCGAACTTTATGACAAGGTGCTTTATAATAACACAAATAGGGCAAAATACAGAATTTGTCAAAAAGCTGTAATTACAACATTAAAACACTGGAGCCAAAAAGGCAGCTTGTGCTCAGCAGCTTCAGTAAGAGAAGAGTGACAGAATGGAAGGGTTAGCTGGCAGATGACAAGGAGGCAGCAGGGATCAAGATGAAAGTAATGTGTGCAATGAGATAGCCTTGGAGTTAGCATCCCCATCAGCCAGCTTTTCGTAATTTCTATTTCATAATGGCTAATATGAAGCTTTGATCTCTCATTCATAATAATTTAGCCTGAGGATTTTAGGTGTGTGTGAAGCAGTTTTAGGTAAAAGAAGCCTCAGCACATATGCTATCTGCTTCATGCAGATTTATTATCGTTGTAATCCTAATTTGGCCAGTTCTTGCCTGCCCTATAATTCCAATTACTTAATCTATCCAAGCAGTTATTTTAGCTGTTAGTGCAAAGAGTTTCCTTGCTGCCTGATTATAATTTTATTAACAATTAATAAGCTACTGCTTTTTAGTTTCATTTCCTGTACAGTCTTTGAGACATCTATCATTTCTTAAAATCCCTATTAATCTGCCCTGCCCAATTGTTTAATATGCTCTATAATAATTCATTAATGTTAACTGATTGCTCCTCTTCCTGTGTGTTCAAAGCAAGGGACAAGAATTCTTATATAATTGCTGGCTAGAAATATTAACCCAAGTTAATGCTCTGCCAATATGAGTTATGTTCAGAATTTGGAATCCATGTGTATTCAAGCACTGAAATTATATTTATTGACATGTTATGCACAGAAAGGACAGAAGAGAAAGGGAGATTGAGCTACAAAAGATAAATTCTATATCTTTTTCTTACACTGCCTCTTCAATAAAAAGAAGAGGAATATCCGCGAACAGAACTAACAGATATTATTCTTCAAAATGCAAATCATGCAGAACAAATTTCTCCAGCTGATATGTAGAGCTGTTGGCCAGCTGTGATAGAGGAGATGGTGGAAACTCCAACCATTCTTTTAATAACCAGGAAAAAATACATTTATTTCAGTGACTTCCTTGTGTAAGTTTGTCTAGGGGCTGTCCATGACTAAAGGCAGAGTCTGCACATTCTCTGGTAGAATTTCTATGTGATTAGTTTTGAATGGGGTAAACAAGCCCTTGTAAGCATTGGGCATTCTATTCCGAATTTTCTACCACTTATTTTTACTGCATATCACGTAGGGTTTCTTTTGCCTGCTCTTTCCAACAAAGAAAAGCTCAAATGACTATTTGGAATATGTATGTGGGTTAGCTGATCTGTTCTCTCTTCTCAAATGCTTTTAAACTCTTGGGCCATTTTGAACGAATTTGACAGTGGGTGGAGATCTCAAAGAGAATATTCTGAGTAGCTTTGCAAAAGTAGATGTCGGGATAGGAGAGAGATTGCTTTCCTACTACTGAGGAAAAGCCTGTAGAACAAGTTCATCCCATATACCCCTCAGTTCGTTAGGAGCACACTGGGAAGCCTGTGGAGCTGTTGTGTCTAGTCTATTGAAAACATCAGTTCTGTGATTCATGGTAGGTGAAAAGGCAACAAGGTTGTTGGGAATATTAGGGTAGGAACGAAAGATTTAGGAGTCTAGAGTGAAATTTTCAGGCAATAAATTTAAAAGAAACAAAGGGAAGTCTGTTTTCTCTTGAGTTATAATTGCAAATTGCTAGAAGTATATTGGGGAGGTCAAAGATATGAATGTGCTCCTGAATGGGTTAGATGTGGAAATAAAAAAAATGTCCATTGAGGCATGTTTAACATAATGCTAACGCAGCTGTCAGCTCAGGAAATCTCCAGGTAAATGGGTGGAATTCAGCTAGCAGATTAAGGCACCTAAACTTGGGTTTAACTGTGTAGGTGTCTCTGTGTGAACCAGATGTCTAAGATCCCTTTATGCTCAGTAGAGAATTAATGTGGGATTTAATTACATAAATGGAGGCATCTAATGCCATTTAAGGCATTGTGGAGTTTCCTGCCTGGCCTCCAGCTCATGTTCCAAGAACATTCAAGTCTCCTACAAAAACCCACAGAACTGTCATATCTGTGGGTCTCGTGTGGGATCCTGATATCTCAGACCATCATAGCTGTCACTAAGCTGAGCCCTGCTCATAGTTGATTCAGCAAGCTATTCAGATCACCGTAAGGAGGATATATCTGCCTATTTTTGGACAGCTGGATGGCTCTTGACTTCATTAGCTGTAGCGAGTAGTTCTGTATTGAGTGCATGAGAAACGTAGACTAATATGAAAACATCTACTTGGGGACATTTCAGGCTAGATGTCAGAATGTACAGCTTTTGCCAGACTTTTACCAGAGGGTAAAATTGCTTAGTTTTCATTATGCTGTTTCCTTAAGTTCCCTTAGCTAGTCAGACACCTGAGATGATTTAGCTGGTGTTGATTTAGGGGATGAAGACAGGATATTGCATATGAAAAAACCTTCTCACGACATTCAGATTGATAATAAGGTTTGCGTGAAAGCTGAGATTCACAGTGCATTGTAGAATGATGCCTCAATATATAGTGACACTGAATGCAGCTTCATAAATCCCTAAGCCTAAAAGATGCCTGATGGCTGAGAGTTCTGGGGCAGCCACAGATGCTGCTGATGAAGCCACTAGAATAACAAATTCTTAAGCCATTAGATCCTGTAACTGCAAGCAATTTTTTTCACAAAGGTAAATCAAAACGAATTTGGTTGATGACAGGCTTCACACCCTTCTATGAATCAGACGAGTTGGATCTTGTTAGAGTAGCAGAACTTGCATAAAGAGAATTTCGGCTAACGTTCAAGCTTAAAGTAGAAAGAACAGTAAGAAGAAAAGCCAAATGATAATTAGATGACTTTTGGAATCAATTTCCTTCCCAGTTTCTTGCACGTAAGATTATTCATGTTTTCTAGTTGGAAAGGCAAAACTTGTAGCACTCCTGTGTTGTCATAGAATTATAGAATGGCTGAGGTTGGAAGGGACCTTAAAGATCATCAAGCTCCAACCCCTTGCTGTAGACAGGTTGCCAAGCACTAGATCAAGCTGCCCAGGGCTCCTCTTCATGAAAATTTTTATGAAACAAGTAAGCCAACATACTGAAACTTTCTGGAATTTCTTTAAACTAGCTGTGATGGAGCATTTATGCTTTTAAAACTAAATTGGTAACCATGCAACTACAGCAAAGTTCCCATTTGATGTTTATTGACAGAATGTCTTAATAGTACAATAAATAACCAAGACTCCCTCTCAGCATCATTGCTGTTAACAGACCATCTTTGTCTCCCAAATGCCCTGCTTTCCAAGATGAGACAGATGAAAAAAAAGCCTTGCATGATCCAATGGCAGACCCTTGTCCCTTATCTCATACCTGAGACACAAGTTCTAACAACTAGTTGTATGCAGCAACATTAACCAATGCTAATGAAAGAAGAAGGAAGTTGTGTAATGGACCATCTGTGATGTGGCCCTAAAATCTGTAGGAAAGCAGTGGCATGAGCCACAGACTGTATGTGGCAGAATTCACAGACCTAAGGATCTTGCCCTGATTTGGCTCAGCAAGGAATTACGTTACTGAGAGTTTATGGAACTGTAGCATTTTCGTGCTCTGTTCCAGTCCCTTCAACTTCCTAATGCCAATTTTCAGCCTGATCTGTGTTATTTTCCTGTACTTCTTATACTTCTCCTCAGATATTTTCTGTAGAGCCTCTCATGCACTGTGGAAAAGTTGTGTTTTAGCTTTTAAGAGTTGCTGACAAAATTCCATCTGTTTTTGGTATTCAGAAGTTCTGTTTAGAGCTGGGAGTGAGTTGTTACTTTCTCTGTCATTTCATTTTACTGAAATGAAACATTCTTTGCAGTCTGTAGAAGGAGATAGCTGGCTAAACATTCTGTCCAGCATTGCTCAACTGTGCTCACATCCCTTCCTAGGCTCGGCATCTGGGCCAGCCTGGCTGATTTCTGTTCCACTTTTGACTGTTTTGCAAAGTTGTAAGAATTAAAATGATCACATATAACTCTGAAATCTCATAACTGAACTGGAATCTTCCCAGTGAAGTATTTAAGAATTATCCCTCTCCACCTGTGTTTTTTCACCCTGATTAGAAAAGAAAAAAACCTTATTTGCAGAGATCAATCTAATCTTCTTTTTACAGATGTGGAAGTTAAAGCACGGAAAGATGAAACTATTTGTTCCAAGTCGTCCAAAAGAGCAGCAACAGGGAGAAAAATGGAATGGAGTCCTTCAGTTCTCACTCTGTTGCATCACACTATCTTCCTATCTTGATGAATATGTCTGAAATTTACTTTTCACAGGTAAGTTGAGAGAAAGATTCAGTCTTCCTGAAGCCTAGAACCAAAGCCTTTACCTATATCACAGATACTGGGGCTGGATAGAGTTTAGACAATGATGTTAAAGCCTGGTCTGTGCTGCTGTCTTCTAGGTGACAGTCTCATAGCTGATGTAATCTTCCAGTATCATTCATCCAGGAATACTTTAGCCTTGGCCCCCGTACCTGTCGTACAACAGGATGCTGAGCCTTTTCTTTTTTAGTACTGAAGTTTAATTTTCTGTATTCTCAGGGTGGGGGCTTTTACTTTCCTTACATTGAGAAAAGCGTAAAAAGGAAGGACATGTAAAAGCAAAGGGTTGTTATTGGGTAAGATTCATGATTTCATTGTAGCTCTATTTTTCACTTCAGTCTTACAGATTTATTCTGATTCCTAACCTACTAGAAGAAGTTTTGGTTTTCCAGAGACACGTGCTATGGAAGGCTATCAAAAGCAGTGCATCTCAAATGTAAGTTTTATAAATGCCTTGAGCCTGAAAACAAATTAGAAAACAAATATCTTACAGAAATGAAGTTCCAAGCAGTTACTTTTAGATTTACTCAAAAAAAATTCTATTTGATTAAAAATCTCAAAATAACTTTGGAGACTATTAAAAAGCCAATGCAAATGACATGACCATTGTGTTAATGATTTTAGGAAGGGTTTTTAGTAGGCATTTAAACAAGTGTCTGGAAGAAGCCGTTATTGCGCTGCCTGAAAATATCAAACTCTGAAAGAAGTGTGCAGTATAAGGAAAATGAAAAAAAGTGGAAGATAAATACTGCTAAAACCTGTCCAGAGCAGACATTGGACTGCATGAGGGAATATTGTAACATCCTGTGCAGGTTGTGAGATGCCCCCTGGTGTTACAAAGCTCTGCTGTTTCTGTTGGGACCCACAGTCACAGGGGAATAAAACCTGAGGACAGAGGGTAAGAAAGTGAGAACAATAAATGGAAGCTACAGAAAGCTGCAAAAGTGGAAAAGGGGATTGGTGAGAGTGCCATTTAGGATCTAACTGCTATGTACACTAAGCAAAATCATCTCTGGGAATCTCAGTTTTGAGTAATATTTTCAGTCGTGGGAATGAGGAGATGCTGGATGGAGTACAAAGAGGAGTGACAAATGGGGTGGTGATAGGGATCCATCATGGGGATCCTGATTTGGAAGGGATCAGCAGTGTTCTGTGGAGACTACAGATAGAAGAGAGGCTTTGGGGAGCCCCTGGGAAATGTGACTCTGTCTTCACCCAGATGTCTCTGCTGTACCACTGTGAGGGTAACAGGACCCTCAGACCTCTTCCAATCATGTGTGTCAACTCCAGTTGCCACAAGCAGCAATACATCCTGTCTTCTTCCTACAACGATTTCTACTTCCCTGGGGCTGCTGAGGAGAAGGAGGAGATGCAGGGAGGGGGCAAGAGAGGCTGTGGATGCCCCATCCCTGGAGGCATTCAAGGCTAGGCTGGATGTGGCTCTGGGCAGCCTGGTCTAGTGGGTGGTGACCTTGCCCATCACAAGGGTCTGAAACTAGATGATTTTTGAGGTCCTTTTCAACCCAGGACGTTCTATGATTCTAAGACAAAGGGAATATTTCAGCAAAGGGAAAGGGAGAAATAGAAGGTGCCAAGCTGAAGAGGAAGGCCTTAAGGAACGACGCTTTCTGTTCCTGTTTCTGTTCCTGGGCTCAAAAATCACTGCTCTTAAGGACCACTGTTGCAATTCTAATGCCTGCTTCTCTTTCGTTCGTGGCTGTGCATGTACAGCCTGTGTGACATAATGTTTCTATGTAGTCCAGAACATGAATAGAGTCCCCGTTTGCCAAATAGTGGTGCTCTGAACACCAAGACACTCATATGAAAGCCCTGCTTTTTAGGCAGAACTTTTTTTTTAATTCAAATAAATTTGCAGACACTTAAACAGGGTGGCAAAAGTGTTTCTTGTTAAAGAAATACAATCAATTAACCAGTAGTATCCTGATAACTGAGACAAGGAAAAAGTGGAAAGAAAATAATTTCAGGCTCTGAGGTTATGCATGAGGAGGATTTAAAGAGTCAGGATTTTCTTGTAATGTTGTCAAGGAAGAGAGAATGTTATAATAACTATGAGATAAACTAGAATCCCATTCTTGCCTCTAAACTGGCATGGCTCTTCACCAACCTTAAATGGCCATTCTAGATGCTAACAAGGGATTCGTTTTCAAGGATTCTTCTGAAAATTCACATAAACTGTGTGAAACTAAAAATGTATACACAAGAACAGAATCAAAGCAAGTGACTGTAGGATCTGGGGAGGATTCCTACAGTATACCATAGTTACTTGTAACTAGATGTTCAGTATTTGCAGCTTTCTTTTGGAGGATCTTCAGTTGCCAAAAAATGAAGGTGGGTATTTTCATTCACAAGCTATTTTCAGTATTTTCTGAATATGAAAACCTTTTCCCTTTTTGTGTGTCCGTATAATGGAAAAAAGAGCATATTGTCTCATACAATGAAAAGAAAATACCAGTGGTTTAGACAGGTGGCTGATTTTAATGTTGACGTCTTTTGGAAATTGAGTACTTAAGAAAGTTATGTTTCTCTTGTGAATTAGATAACTGAGGACATAGTATTTAGCTAATGAGGTCGAAATCCCTTTGAACTGCTCAGTATCAGTTGTAACAAAACTTATAATGTTGTAAACCAAGGAATACTAGCCTTCTTATAGTCTTTGTTGGCAAAGCAAATAAGGCAAGAAATTCAGCTTCCATTGTACTGAATGCCTTCAGCCCTTGTGGACAGAGGAATTAGGAAACTGATACATACATGAAGTGATGGCTTACATTACGAGAGTCAAGGAGAAAATGAAACTGTTTTTTAATAAGAGTGTTTTTTAATAAAGCCTTTCTGGTTTTACGAAGACCAACTCCTTTTCAACACTCAGGCTAGTAATACTGAGCATACGTCCCAAATATGTCTTATGGCACTGTACCAGCTTGAGTTAAAACAAAATACATTATCCCTTCTCTTAAATGTGACCTTCTGCTCTACCACGTTATGGAACTAAGTTATTTGACAGTTGCAAAGCAATGCCAGATTGTGATTGTAGGTTGGCTGGAATTTGTGGCCTCTCTCATCTAGCCACATGTTTCATCACTTACATTATATTGTTCAATTATTTGCTTCCTTGGCTCCAAATTCCCTTTCTTTCTTTTTCTGATCTGGTGTAATTCCTCATGCTTTCACTAGGTGGGTCCCCACAACAGTACACTGGGTTGGCCATGTGTTGAACAGCCTGAACACGTCTGGGAAAATGCATCTCCCAGTGAGTTTTATTGCCCTCCTCCCCCCCTTTTTGTTGTTTGGCAGAAGTTCACTGCACCACATGTTTGGATGTATGATTTAGTGATTTCAAAAACTGAGTGAATGCTGGGTGGTTATCATAAGGGGATTGGATCTGGGAATCTTCCTAGGAATATTCTGTTCTAACTTAACCTGTTTCAGCTGAGGTTTAAGACAAATCTGATTTTGCCTTGTAGCAATTTATGTATTGTGACATCAAGCTTTGAAATCATTTTAGCTTTCAAAGGGTGATGCACAGCTGTTTCGTTAGCAATATCACATATATTTCTCCTTTCCAAGATCTGGAGTTAGCCTGTATATCTTTAATGCTTTCTAACGAACAAAAACCAAAAAAATCAGTATCCTTTTGTGTGTTTATTGGATGTTTACTGTCTATACAAGAAGAAGTATTTTTTAGCTAAAATCTTCAGAAATTTTATTTCCAAGTACCTTCAATTTTTAATTGCATATGTATAAAAAAATATTTACTCCCTAAACCTGACCAAAACAAATTCTAAACATGAAGCCTTATCCTTTTCTATCCCATAATGCCCCATGAAGAAAACTGAGGGGAAAACAAAGTGAGATACTAGCAATATTTCATAGTATTCTATTAGAAAGCTAGTGTAACCCAGTGGTGGGTAGCATATAAGGTATCCTTTGGAGCCCTTTGTGATGCTCCCCCAGCTGGGGTCTGAGTCTGATTCCTGCCTGGTGCAGCACCCATCTGTCGCATCATCCTGTGGGAGACCTGCAAGTCAGGAACAGGGCAGCTATTCAGCATGCTATTTTTTATGGTTAGAGCTTTATGGTCTTTGAATTCATGGTGCTCTGAATGATGAGGTGTTTAGTTTCTTTACCATCTGAGGCTGTGTTTTCACACTGTCATGAAAGATGTTCAATTATATTGTGAGAGTATAGAGCTCTCAACAGATTCAGGCTGTTTAACACATTCAGGCTTGTACACATAGAGCTAGTTTTTTCTGTATAGTATAATCTATATTGCTAATTTAACTTTAGATTGGATAACTGTTATCTCCAGGTGGGTTATCAGCTGCCTTTTCAATGTCTACTTCTCATATCTTGGTTCCTACAGAAAGAAGATCATAACAGCCTAGCTGATATATTTCAATTATTGGGAGGCTCGGGTTTATTTTTTTCTTCTTCCCTTTTGTTCCTTCTCTTATCCAGGCTCATTAAGTGAATCTATTTCATCTGCTTATGTGACAGAGATAATTCATCCAGCAAGAAGTGCAAATTTTGATGGAGCTATAGGTTTTGTTTCATGTGACCTATGCTTAGAGGTTGAAGAAAGGGTTTAGGAAATTCTTGCATTATGTATTACAAAGATAAATGGAGAACTAAAATTGATGGTTTTCTTGCTCAGTAACCAACTTGTATTAAGAAAAGCTGATATTCAGAGTTGTATATATTCAAAGTCAGGAAATCTTGGTCCATCAGATAACAAATACAAGGCAAGACAAAGGCTGTCACAGAATATAGAGGCACAGTAGTACTTAATATCAGAGATGTGGCTTAAAATGGATCCTCAACAGTGGCTATAAAAACAGATTTCCTGGTTTTAGCAAGTAGGTGGAATTTTCTGTGTCTTACTCAAGGCAGTTTTAATGATTTCTTTGTCATCATTTTGATGGCAAGAATCACAACTTGAAAAAAATAGCTTCTGTATTCTTTCAGTTTACTTATATTTCCATGTGATGGTTATGAGTTCCAGTATTTATCTCTTCATCATCAACCTCCTATCAGTTACAATCTCCATTCTTCAGCTCTGTGCCAAATCTACGTGTACATTTAGACTGAGTACAAATGCTTGAGGAATCCAGGGCAATGAGGAACAATGAGACATTCCATTGAAACCTTGATTGAGATTTAGAAAGTTCTCATGTGTCTGTGCCTGGAGACTGTTTTGGGTAGGGGATCTCCCACTCTCCTGCATTAGAGTCACTGTTCTGCATCTCTGGGAAATAACACCAAGTGTAGCAGGAGCACTTGTCATTTCTAATTCCAGGATTTCAAACCACAAAGCCAGACATACTATATGAGGTTGGTCTGCTCACACTTGTCTGGCACCATCATTTCCTCTGGGAAAATGGCAGGAGCAAATAGCAACTTGCCTGTTTGCATGTAGGCGTGATCCTCCTGAGAACATATAATTTGGCACTGTGTGCTGCTAAGTTCAAACATCCTC